TGTAAACATTTCACATTGTATATTGAAGCAGTACCCTGAACCCCATAAATAAAAGAAAGAAAGAAAAATGAAAAAAAAAAAAGAATTCCCAACAACAGGCCAGGTATAGTAGCTCATACCTTGTAATCCTAGCACTCTGGGAGGCCTGTGGGTTGCCTGAACTCAGGAGTTCAAGACCAACCTGAGCAAGAGTGAGACCCGTCTCTAAAACTAGCCAAGCATTGTGGTAGACGCCCGTAGTCTCAGCTACTTGTAAGGCTGAGGCAAGAGGATCACTTGAGCCCAAGTTTGAAGTTGCTGTGAGCTATGACACCAGGACATTCTACCAAGGGTGCCAAAGTGAGACTCTATCTCAAAAAAGAATTCCCGGCTCAGCGCCTGTGGCTCAAGTGGCTAAGGCGCCAGCCACATACACCTAAGGTGATGGGTTAGAATCCAGCCTGGGCCCACCAAAACAACAATGATGGCTGCAATCAAAAAATAGCTGGGCGTTGTGGCAGGCGCCTAGGGTCCCAGCTACTTGGGAGGCTGAGGCAGGAGACTCGCTTGAACCCAGGAGTTGGAGGTTTCTGTGAGCTGTGATGCCACGGCACTCTACCCAGGGGGATAGCTTGAGGCTCTGTCTCAAAAAAAAAAAAATTCCCAAGAATAATAACAATAACCATTTATTGTACACTTACTCTGTCTAGCTCTTTACATATATTTTATGTATATATATATATACACACACATATATATATATTTTTTGAGACAAAGCCTTAAACTGTCTCCTGGATAGAGTGTGGTGGCATCATAGCTCACAGCAACCTCCAACTCCTGGGCTCAAGCGATTATCCTGCCCCTACCTCCCAAGTAGCTGGGACTACAGGTGCCTGCCACAATGCTTGGCTATTTTTTGGTAGCAGCCATCATTGTTGTTTGGCAGGCCCAGGCTGGATTCGAACTTGCCAGCTCAGGTGTATGTGGCTGGCACCTTAGCACCGAGCCCATATTTTAATCCTTAAAAGGGCACTAAAACATATGTCATTATTGCCCCCATTTTAATCCAACTCCTTATTTCAACCTAATCTAAACCAATTCTGTCAATCTGAAAAGAAGGAAACCAAATCAAGAGATGGATGAATCTCTGCAGAAGGTCACAGAACAGGAAGAAAGGGCAGACCAGACTTTCTCAATGTGCTAAGCTGCATGCAAATTTGCTGCATGCAAATTTGAAGTCATCTGGACCATCCTTCTCTCCCAGGGCTCCTAGGAGAGTAAGAGGCACCCCAGTAGTTTATTGCCACTTTTGAAGAAGTCCTTTCAGAGTATGACTGCCATTAGTTCTCCTATAGTGCCTGACCCTTGCTCTGCCCACCCCTCATTTCTGCCCTCAGAATCTAAGATGGGACGATGTTCCTCCCTCCCCAGTAGAAGCTGGCCTGGCTGCTTCTGTCTTGTCTCTGAGCCACTGCAGTGGGAGTTGTCAGTACTGAGAGCAATGACTCAGACTCAGGAAAGACCGCTCTGAAACACCAAAATCTGCAGGCCAGGAAGGACATCCAGAGGTCATGACATCCAGCCCCCTGCCTCTTCCACATTTGCCCCTCCTCAGGCTTCTGCTGCCTACACCCCCTGAGCCCCAGGGTCCACAGACTTCCCTAGCTGTCCTTAGTGCCTGTATCACTCCTTTACCTGGAAACTCTTTCCTGTGTCTGTCTAGTCAGTGTCTCTTGGCCTATGGACAGCCACTTCTGGGTTTGTTCCCCCTGGAATACCAGGCTCTGAATGGCTAAAGAGAGTGAGGGAAGGAAATTGTTTTCTTCTTTATGCCTCAGGCAAAGTACAGAGTGGGACAAATCTCCCAGAAGAAGAGGCATGGTAGCTCATGCCTATAATCCTAGCAGTCTGGGAGGCCAAAGCGGATGGATTGCTTGATCTCAGAAGTTCAAGGCCACCCTGAGCAAGAGCAAGACCTTGTCTCTACTAAAAATAGAAAAACTAGCTGGGCATAATGGCTGGTACTGACAGGTGGAGCTACTTAGGAGGTTGAGGCAGGAGGATGGCTTTAGCCCACAAGTTTGAAGTTGGTTACTGTAAGCTATGATGACACCATGGCACTCTACCCAGGGTGACAGAGTGAAACTCTGTCTCTAAAAAATATATAACAATAATGATGAAAAATTAGAAATTAACTTCCTGGCTTGGCGCCTGTGGTTTAAGTGACTAAGGCGCCAGCCACATACACCTGAGCTGGCGGGTTCGAATCCAACCCGGGCTGCCAAACAACAATGACGGCTGCAACAAAAAAATACCTGGGCGTTGTAGTGGGTGCCTGTAGTTCGAGCTACTTGGAAGGCAGAGGCAGGAGAATCATTTGAGCCCAGGAATTGGAGGTTGCTGTGAGCTGTGATACTACAGCACTCTATCAAGGGCGATACCTTGAGACTCTTGTCTCAAAAAAATAAAATAAAATAAAAATTAACTTCCTGGGTGGCGCCTGTGGCTCAAAGGAGTAGGGCGCCAGCTCCATATGCTGGAGGTGGAGGGTTCAAACCCAGCCCCGGCCAAAAACTGCAAAAAAAAAAAGAAAAAAATTAACTTCCTTTGGCCAGGTGCAGTGGCTCACACCTGTAATCTTAGCAGTCTGGGAGTCCAAGGTGGGTGGATTGCTTGAGCTCACAGGTTGGAGATGAGACTGAGCAAAAGCGAGACCCCATCTCTACTAAAAAGAGAAAAACTGAGGCAAGAGGATCGCTTGAGCCCAAGAGTTGGAGGTTGCTATGAGCTAAGATGCCACAGCACTCTACCCAGGGCAACAGTTTGAGACTTTGTCTCAAAACAAATTAATTAATTAATTAATTAACTTCCCTTGCCTGTCTTGCCTGGGCTAAGTGCCTTCTTGCACCAGCTCATTCGTTCTCACAGTGAGGCAGACACAATCACCATTTTGCAGATGTAGAAATCAAGGATTTAAAATATATAATTACTTGCCCAAGGTCACACAGTGAATTAGTGACTATACAGGTATTAAATCCTAAGGAACCTAAAGCCCCTGCTTTTTGGTAGAAAACAGGGGTACCACCCCTCCAAGGGGTCTCCAGACATAGAAGGCCCTGTTTATTCTATCCCTGGATAGATGGAGGGCCTCATAAACCTATCTCAGAGTACTGCAATTAGCCCAAAGTCTGAGTTGTCCACAGAGGAGAAGTTGGGCTGGCCTGGGCAAGAAAGAGAAGGATACGCCTCAGAGAGGATGGAGAGAAGGCTACTGGTAAATGGGCCTTTGGGGAGACTGATGTGAGGGCTGAGCTCTGACTCCATCCCTGCTCATTTGAGGAAAGCTGGAAGTCAGATGGAGTCTGCAGCTGCAGTGGGAGGATCTGGAGGGGGAGGGGACAAAGCCCCCACAACCATGAACCCTCATTCTGCCCTTGTCCTACTTCTGCCACTGGCAAATAAATCTCTGTTCCTAGACACAGTAACCTGAGCAGTGCTCCAGTGGTGAGCTCATCCTTGGGAAGACAGAAATTGGACGAATGACTGTGTGCATGGGGTGGGGGTAGCTGGTGTTACCTGTTCTCTAGGGCTAGCATAAAGGCAGGACCTCTTGCATCAACCAAGGCCCTCCTGAGTGGCACTCCCCCAATCTTTCACCCACAGCAGAGGAGTAGAAAAACCTAAACCCAGAAGTCTCTCCACCCACACCCAGGGAAGGGTTCTCTCAGCTACCATCCTATCTCTGTTTCCTTGGACAAGCCAAAGAGATGAAGCTGAACCTGTTGGTCAGGGCCAGAGAGGGCAGAAGGAAAGGGGGCAGAGGGTTAGGGAAGGCAACTTGGAGAAATGGGTCCTAGATAATCAACATGTATCAGAAGACCAGGTGAAGAGAGAGCTCCTTGGAGGGTGAGGACCTCTTCACCTACCCCTCCCTACCCCCTGATCTAACTCCACTTGTGGCAGGATCTTTAGAAGGGGGCCTGTTTTAGAGAGGTTTGGGAACTTTAGGAATGAGGACTGAGGCCCCTTCTCTGCTGAAGTTCAGACACCAAGACTGGTAAGGAATACAGTCGTCTTGCTTCCCATTGCAAAGGAGGAATTGCCTGGCCTTTGACACATACACCACAGTTCGGGGGTGTGCTATTTGGAAAGAGCCTCTCTAGGGCAGAGAGGCATCCAATTAATGGGGGCAGATGAGTCCCCTATTCTTCCTTCACCAATCTTCAGCATCTTTCAATCTTCACTATCAGGAAGTCCTAACTTCGATCTCACTCCCAGCTATACTGCTGCAGCTCCAACCTATTTCTATTCCCTGCAACCTCATCTAGACTCTTCAATGATCTTTCCAGGCTTGCCTCAATCGTGTCAAGCCCCTCAATCCCAGGTTTTTCAAAGTAAAACTACCCCCTCCACTTTTTACCTCCAAGCCCCTCCCTATCCTGTCGAGCCCCCCATGACTCCGCCCAGTTCGACCTCCTGGCCACGTGACAGCCAATAGCTGAGAACCTGATTTGCATGACGGCGCGGGGGAGCGACGGAGGGAAGAGGGAGGGACCAGGCGACCTCCTAAATCAAAGTTGGGAGGCAAGGACTGGGCGGAGGGGCCGCAGGGTGCGGGGCCGGGGCCGGTGGGGGGCAGGGGGAGGAGATGGGGGGCGGGCGCAGAGGACGGCGGAGCCGGCCGGACACGGACATCTCTGTCGCTCCCTCCCTCCGCTCATCCTCGCGTCCCCACTTCCCTTCTCCCCTTTCTCAGAGCAGCATCCTCTGCAGACCCTCGGTCCTCACGCCCAGGGTCGTCCCGCTCCCGCGGCTCGGCATAATTGCCTCCTCCTCCCCTGCCAACCGGGCAACTTTCTCCGCCCGCGCCCAGGGGTCGAGGGAGGCTTTGCTTGGGGCTCACTGGGGGTCAGTCACTGCAGGAGGGCGTCAGAGTCCCAGAGAGACGCCCGCCACCCGCAGCCTGCCCCAGCGGGCCTGCCGTCGGGTCTTGGCACCCTCTCTTCTCCTCTCCCCCAACCATGACCGAAATGAGCGAAAAGGAGAATGAACCGGATGACGCGGCCACCCATACCCCCCCAGGGACCGTCTCTGCCCTCCAGGAAACCAAGGTAACTCGGGGGGCGCGAGGCCTGGTCCCAGCCCAGTGCGTGCCCGGCCCGGGCGCCCTGTTCCTGCGGAGTAGCTGTTGTGGGCTTGGGAGCCCTAGGGTCGCCGTAACGGGGCCCACGTGATTCCTAAGGCTCCGCGCCGCGCCCCGGGGAGAGGAGTGGGTTCGTGACAAGAGGCCACAAGGAGCCCCCAGTCGCACAAGCACGGCATGCCCGTGCGCGCGACAGGAGCGGGCGCACTATCGGAACCCTCCGGGGAGGTTGTAACTCGGCTTCGTTGGAGGGAATCGGCGCAGCTAGGGCAGAGGGAGCCTGTAGCGGTAGCGGGTGTGGACCAGTGTACGCGCCGGTGTGTGCGCGTGAGGCGCACCCTCTCCCGTGGCCGCCAGGTCTCTGTCTGTAGCTCAGTTCATCCCTCTCTCTGCTTGTGTCTCTCAGAATATGTCTCCACAACCTTTCTCTGTCTCGGTGTCTCTGTGTGTGTCTCTACCCATTTATCTCTAAGTCTCCGGGTGTCTATCTCTGACCTACTGCAGTCCTGCGTTCCCCCCACCCCCCAATCGGGTTAGGCTTCGGGACGTGAGGCCGTGGCTGGCGGGAGCGCAGCGGCCGAGTCCGTGCTTGGGGGATGCGGCAGCGCCGAGCGTCCGTCGCAGGCGGGGACAGGGACTGTTGTTGCGGCTCCAGACCAGAAAGACAGGCAGTCCCACCACCCCCCCACACACACCGGGAGCGAGACGAGGGGAGGGGGGAAATGGGCAGAAGCAAAAAGAGAAGTCATTGTAATTAATGAATGTCATAATTAACCCTAATTGTGTATGACTGTTACTCCTGCGGGAGTCACAATGAATAAATTATTCCCCGTGAAGGAGGGCGGAGCCCAAACTCCAGGCACTGAAAAGGGTGGGAGGAACGCGGGTGTTCACTTAACACCCCCTCCCCACCTCTAATCTGTTTGCTCCCTCCCTAAGTTCTAGGTGCTGGCGAACCCGCGCCCAGAGAAGTTCTGCGGGAGCAACTTGAGCGGGCCTGGGAAAGGGGCAGAAGGGGCTGTGGCAAGCGCGCTCACTCTTCCTCCCCAGACTTCAGGCTGAGACCTCCTTCCCTCTCATTTCCACCCTGGTATTTTCGTTCACATCCTGTTCCTGTTATACAGAGGACAAGGGGGCCAGTGAAGACCAGAAATGGGTGGGGTCTTGGGCTACCTGGCTAGGTCTCTATAGCTCTTCTCAGTGTCCTTCCTCATTCCATTTTGACCATCTCTCATGATCTGAGGTTAATTCAAGGTCAAGGTCATCAAGGGAGTGTTCAGGGAGAGATCAGTAGGGCCATAGTAGAGTCTGGCTGAGGCACCTCTGATAGCTCCCCAATCCCTGAACAGGGGACCCAGTGGGTCTCCATGTCCAACTCTTCAGATGCATACTTGACCTTCCCCTGCCCCGTTCTGAAATTAAGCCTCTGGCCTCTCAGAACACAAAGTTATCTCCCCCATAGACAGCCAAGTTTCTCCAAGGAAAAGAATAAGGTGCTGAGATTGGAAGATAATGCTTGGAATATTTGTGACAGCTTCTGTCAAGCAGAGCTGAGCCTCCAAAATTCCAATGCCCCTGACTTCTCCCTGGCACACATACACAGTCCCCTTGCTTGTTTCCCAGGGGCTTGGGTGCCTCTGAGGCCCTACCCTGCTTCCCACACCAAAGCCTGTCCACTCCAGCCCCCTCCTTAGGAGCTCTGGAAGGCAGGCAGGAGCTCTGGGCAGTGCTGCCTCAGCAATCCCCAGGCTGCAAGCTCAGCTGTGTGTGGAGGGGGAGGTCAAGGCTTCTTCCTAGCCCAAAGAACCTCTAGTATTGTCACCTCCAATCTGAGTCATAGAGATCCAAACACTAGGAGAGGAGGGAGATTATACACCTGACCTGGCCCCTCAGTGCCAGGACTGCTGAAGCCCAGCCCCTTCCCTGCCATACTTCACCCTTGAGAAGTCCTCAGGAGTAATAACACAGGCTAGGCTGGGTTGGGGGCATCCAGCAGAACACAGGGGGGCCAGAGAGAGAACTCAGAGCCCTTGCCAGCTTCCTTCCATCCCCCACCTCAAATTGGCCCAAAGAAACTTATGCCCAGACTGTAGGATTAGGGAAGATAGAAGAGGAAGTGGCTTGGTGCCTGTAGCACAGTGGTTATGGCACCAGCCACATATACTGAAGGTGGCAGGTTCAAACCCAGCCC